GGCTCTCCCATTAGATCTTAAGCTCCTTGAGGGCAGGAACTGTCTTTTGCCTCTTTGTATCCCCAGAGCTTAGCACAGTGCCTGACACATAGTAGCTGCTTAATAAATGTTTATTGAATTGAATATGTATCCATGTTGTCTCCCTTGGCTAGATTATAAACTCCTAGAGGGCAGGGACTGTCTTTTGCCTCTTTTTTGTATCTCCAGAGCTTAGCACAGTCCCTGGCACATAGTAGGCACTTATGTTTATTGATTGATTCATGTGGAATTTGCATAAAACATACTCCAAGGCAGATACATTCAGCACGCAAGCACCTCTTTGTTTTAAGCTTCACATACTTTTAATAATCCAAGTGTTATTGAACCATCATCTCTGTGGTTGCATTTTTCAAAGTATCTCATCTGACCTCCTCCTACCACTTTCCACCATGGCCGCTCTTGGAATGCTGCGGCTCCATTGAGATTCAGGCCAAGCCTGATTTAGATTTCCTCTTGTTTCCCCTCTTTAAATGAGGCAACGCTGCTTACGATCTTCTTCCGGGTGGAAAGTTTAGAAAGAAATGGTTATTTCCCCATGAAACCTGTAGCCTAGGAGTTATCTATAATATATACATTATCATTATCTCTAATTTAATAAAAGTTGTAACTGTAACGCATAAAACTAGCTACCTCCACTAAGCAGCCTCTGGCTGAACATCTCTGGTGACAGGGAGATCATTACCTTTTAAGAAAGCCAATTCCACATTTGGACATCTCTAATTATTAGGTTATTTTTCCTTAACCAAAGCCTAATTCTGACTTTTCTGCAGCTTGTATTTATCACTACCGGTTCTGCCCTCTGGGACTGACTAATCTTTCTTCTGATGGCTTTTCGATACCTGAAAGCAGAGGTCAAGTCTAGAACCTCCCTTTCTCTAGGCTAGGCATCGTCACATATCTGCTGTGGTTTCTGTAGGAAAAGCCACCCCCCCTCCGTTAAACCAGAGATTGTCTAACTTGCAAATCGTTACGGTCCCAAACCACAAGATTCACCATTTCATGCTACTCTGGGGTTAATTATGTCTACAAGATTGACCTACTGGGCACAGACCTTTTACAGTCACAACTGCACAGAGCCCGTAAGAGGGCTTAAAGGACTCTTTGGGGTCGAGGTGGATTTGTAATCCTACATGCCCATATGTCTTTGACTCAGAAGCTTCTACCTCCTTCTACCTCCAGATGTGGCTACCCCCATCCCTGCAAGCCCCAAAGGTGACTCCATTCTAATTAGGAGTGTTAGTCATTCCCTGGTTATCGATTTCTTTTGCAAAGTTACTTTCCATCCCTTTGGAGTTAAAAGTCTCTCCTGTCCAGAAACGTTATGGTACTTCCACAAAAAAAATTGTTATTCCAAGAAAAAAACTGAGTGTCACTTCTGGGAAAATGAGTCAGCCAGCAAGCATTTAATAAATATTCCTTGTTATAGGTGATGGCTCTCTAGAAGGGGGAAAAGGGGACACAGAGGGAAATTAGGTGATATAAAAATAAAACACAAGCATCTATTAGGTGCCAACTATATGTCAGGCATTGTGCTAAGTACTGGGGATACAAAGAAAGGCTAAAACAGTCCCTTCCTTCAAGGAGCTTATCCTCTAATGGGGAGAAGGGTGACATATCATGTATAAATAGCAAGGTACATACAAGAGATAAGCAGAGTAGATAGAAGGTGAGTGCAGAGGGAAGGAACTAGCAGCTGGAGAGACCAGTAAAGGCAGTAGCAGAAGTTGGAGGGGGGAAGGGGCAGAGTCAGAAGACTTGTGTTCAAATCTTGCCTCTCTGCGTGACTTTGGGCAAATCACTTAAGCTCTCTGGGCTAGGATCCAATGGTCTCTAAAGTGTCTTCCTGCTCCGAATCTGTGATCTTACAATCCTGTGAATGAAGCCTCGAAGAGAGCTAGGAATTCAAAAGGGTAGAGATGAGGAAGGAGAGCATTCAGGAATGGAGGTGGGAGATGGGAGGCATGTCCAAGTAGGGATCAGTAAGTGGGTCGGTTTGTAGAATGTGTGTAGGTGAAAGGTCCGGGGAGAAAGACTGAGCCAGTTCGTGAAGGGCTTTGGAGGTCAAACAGAGGAGTTTGTGGTTTATTTTTTTCTAGAGATAAAAGGAACCACAGAATGTCTAGTTCGGGGAAGACATAAGATCAGACTTGTTCTTTAGGAATTTCAGTGTGACAGCTGTGAGGACCATGGATTGGACTGGGAAAAGACCGGAGTCAGGGAAGTCAATGAGGAGGATATTGCAATAGTCTGGGAGAAAAGACCTGAACTCAATGGAGGGAAGGGGATGGAGTGAGAGAGGTAAAGGTAAAATTGATGAGGCTCGGGGGGGAGGGAGAGGAAGGAATCAAGGATGCCCCAGTTTCAAATCTTGGTGAGAGAAGGCCAGTGGTGTCCTTGACAACAAGCAATAAGTAAATTCGGAGGATTTAAAGGAGGTGATGTTAGATGGCACATTGTTTTGGACACGGTGAGTCTGAGATGCCTATCTGGCATCATCTGAAGAAGGCTGGATGTGTAGACTTGACAGATATTTACATCCACACGATTCTCAAGCCCACCCTAAGAGAGCATGTAGAGAAAGAAGAGGACCCAGGTCACAAAATGGGGCAATCAGGCCATCTTGAAAACCTTTCCCTAACTTGACCCATGGTGAATCCTTTTAACTTTACATTATTCAACTCCCACCCCCCTTGTCCTACTGGTGATCACATCTTGCCAAGCCCCAACCAACCCTGAATACCTTCCACCATTTATATGCTGCTGAAAGGAGTTAGGTAAATCACAAATCCGAGCTGACAAGGTTCACGTTATTTAATCTCAACTAGGTTCTCGCTGTAACAAGGCAGTCTCTTCCTCCCTAGTCAATTAACTCCCTGACTCCCCACAGCAGCCGTTCCAAACTTTCTAATCTCCCCTCCAATAGCATCCTTCCCCACCTCCCAAGCCTCTCATCTCATAATTCCCCAAAGGGAAATTAGCCATTTGCTAAGACCTCCCATTCTCCCAATCTCACGCTATCTGGACATCTTTCCACTGAATCCTCCTTCACTCTGCTCTTGGATGAAGAGGTAGCCCTTCTCTTTGTCAAGGGAACTCCCCTCCCCACACGCACCATTTTCCTCCCATTTTCCCCAGCAAATTGCCCCCATTCTATCTTCTCTTCATTCTCTCTTTCTACTGGATCCTGCCCTGATACCTACAAATACATGCCCATAGCTACCTCATTCTTAAAAACTCTTCATTTGATCCTATGATCCCTACTAGCCAAAGTCCTCAAACTTACTGCTCTTCTGTGGCTAAATTCTTTGAGAAAGCCATGGCGATCAGGGTCTCCATTATGCCTCTTCTTGCTCTAAACCCTTTGCAATTTCGCTTCTGGCCTCATCATTTATTTATTTATTTAGTTTTTTTTTTTTTGCCTTTTTTGGTGAAGCAATTGGGGTTAAGTGACTTGCCAGGGTCACACAGCTAGTTGTGTCAAGTGTCTAAGGCTGAATTTGAACTCAGGTTTCCTGACTCCAAGGCCAGAGCTCTATTCACTGTGCCACCTAGCTGCCTCTGGTCTCATCATTTAACTGAAATTGCTCTCCAAGGTTAACAACGATCTGATCTCTTTTTTCTAAACAGTCATTTCCAATGGCTTTTTCTTAATCTTCATCCTTCCTGACCTTTCTGCAGCCTTTGACCCTGTTGATCAACCTCCCCCACTTCTCCTGGTTTTCCTCCCATCTGTCCAGACTCTTCTCCAGTTTCTTTGTTTGTTTCTTCATCCATGTGATGCCCACTAGCCATGGGTGTCCTTCGAGGCTCTGCTCTGGGCCCTTTTTTGGCCTCTATTTCACTAGGTGATCTCATCATTTCCTATGGCTTCCACGACCATCTCTATGCAAATGGTTTCCAGATCCATATATTCTCCCCCACCTTCTCTCCTGAGCTCTGGTCCTGCACTTTGTGGAATTCTCCAACTAGCTGTCTGAGAGACATCTCAGGTGCAACATGCCCCAAAGAGAACTCATTCTCTTTTCCCCTAAACCCTCCTTTCTTCTTAACTTCCCCATTACTGTCCGGTAATTGCTTACTAGTCTCTCTGCCCTCCAGTCTCTTTCCACTTCGATCCATGCCCCTCTTAGGTGCCAGGGCGATTTTTTTTCTGATCACATCAGGCTAACTCAAAGACCTCCTGTGGTGCAATTATAGACATCTCTGGCATTTGAAGATCTTCACAAGCTGGGTTAGTGGACTTACACCTGCCTCCTCTGTGCACTTTGATCCAGTGACTCTGCACCCCACCCCCCGCCTCCGCTGCCCCTTTCACATGCCATTGTCTCATCTGTGGGTCTTTGCACTGGCTGCCCCCATCGCCCTGCCCAGGATGTTCTGCACCCTCACCTCCCTCTGCCTCTCTGCTTCCCCGACTTTCTTCAAGCTTCAGCTCAAACCCCACCTGTGCTCCCCCAAACCACCTCCGCCTCTCTCCCAAGTGCACCCTTCTATAGAAGGCTTCTCCTATAAACTCCTCGAGGGCAGGTTCTGTTACATAGTTTCTCTTTGTATCATCCTGCACATAGTAGGTGCTTAATAAAACTTGGTTGGTGGATTCCACCAGTTCTCCCTCTCCCCAAAAATGACTAATAGTTTGTATTTCCCGTCCGTGTGAATGCTGCGTCCTGTGCCTCTCTCTGGCAGAATGGAAGCTCACTGTCAGCAGGGGCTGTTTATGGTTCTGTCTGCTTATTCCTAGCGCTTCCTTAGCACATTGCACAGTAAATGGTTCACCAATGCTGGGTGAATTGAACCATGACCTCTGTTTTCTTGGGCTGTGGGGCTCCTCCTCCCCACCCCAGCCGTCAGCAGCACAGAACCCTTGCCAGGACGGGTCCCGAGAGAGCTGGAGGTCTGCGTTGGCCAGCTTTACGAATGGAAAGGAAGCGGAGGGAGAAAAAAGTAGCAGACACACCACGTGAAACAGAAACTTTTTAATAAGGTTAAGTATAGTCCACAAAACCACAAAACCCAGAAGGTGGGATTACACAGAAGGCTTTCAGGTTAGAGCACCATGGCATTCACACGGCACAGACACGTACCGCAGGCTACTGTTCAGAAGAATTCATTCAAGTATGGTCCTAGATCAGAAACCTAAATGAAGACATAAGAAGGAATGAAAGACAAAAGAGGGACAGTGTTGGCTGGCCCTAAGCTCGCACTATGCGCAAGAACAGGGTCCCAAGAGTCCTGGGGCTGCATGCGTTCTCAGGAAGCTGGCGTTCCCCCCATCCCCACCCTGGCGGCTGAAGGGCTGGCCAGGCTTGTCTGGGGCTTTCCTTTACATTACAGACTGACTTGTTTCCTGGTTCCGTCCGCAGTGATGCCCGGGCTTTGCCTGTTTCCAGAGCTCGGGGGAAAGTGCGAGAAAGAGGAAATGGTGTAAGAGCAGATAGGATAGGCACATGATTGATTAAGAAAAAAGGTTCACTTGGGAGTGGGGAGGTCGGCTTAACTTACAAACATGACACGTTTCAAAATTAGTGTGTGGTCCATGGTGAGGTTTTTAAATGGTCTTAAGCAAACAAGATCCCCCAAACGGTATCATTTCTTCTGCAGGTGAACCTAGAAATCAATTGAGAGGGAGGGGCCGGCCCGGGAGGGTGCCCAGAACAGAAGGTCGCTGTGCATAGTAAGGCTAGCTCAGTGACGCCACCCCCTAGGCAGCTGTGTAGCACCTTTCCATTAAAGAGCTAGCTCACCGAGGGAGGGGGCACCTCTCGGGAAACGCTCCCAAGAGGGAGGGGTTGCTTGAGGCACTGAAGGTGGTTGGCCGAGAGGCCCGGGAGTGGTTGTACACAAGGCGCTAGATGCCACATTCTGAGTTAAGCTGCCTCTGTCTCCCTGCTGGGCCCAGGGTCACAGGGTCACAGGACCAAGAGAGGGAAGGGGCCCAGTGATGCCCCAAGCAAGAACACAGCATAGGTTGTGAAGCACATGGCAGGATGGACATCTATGCAGATATCTATCCGTGTACATAGACATATTTTTTGTAGATTTGTTTGTGGAAAAATATCATAAGCAGAATTGTGAAAACATTGTCTGATGGTACAGAGACGATCAGACCAGGCAGAAAACACGTTTAACCAGGGAATGCCAACATGGGTCGTTAACTGAAAATCAAGGCCCATTTTCCAAGGTGGCCCATCCCCCTTTGGGACGAGCAGTGTGAGGGAGAGCGGTTTTTTCCTATGATTTCATATCAATGAGGTCTTGGGTCTAGAGAAATATCAACACGTGATTTTATGGAAAAGAGGCAAATGCCAGGAGGAAACGAGAAGCCCTCATTAGAGAAAGCACGACAAGTTAGCAGAAGGCAAAGAGCAAGAGTCTGGGCCAGCTACGCTTTAGTACTCTTCTTTCTTGTTCTGGTTAAAGTATCACAACGATGGAGCCGCGTCTCCCTTGCAAATCAGGCAGGATCCCGTGCCGTCGTCCCGCAGGGCTCCATAAGCAGATAACAACAAAGCTCCGATCAAAGCATCGCGGTATCTGCAGGAAGAAGGGAAACAGAAGAAGACAACCACCGGTTAGGAAAGACACAAGAGTCTGCACGGCGCCACACGTCAGGAGGTAAGCGTGCCACATGGCGTGGCCTGCATGTCAAAGAGACAACAACAGGGAGGGGACCCAAGCTCGAGCTGCCTTGAGTAGACCCGGGGCCTCCAGGGGCAGGAGGCACTGACCGCGTCGCTCTGCAGTGCACATATGTGACAAGAAGCCACCCACGCTAGCCCGGACAACACATACGTGACGAGAAGAACCAGGTAACTTCTATACTGGGGGTCCATCTGCAAGCATTCTTGCTGACAGGAGTGGGGGACTAAAAAGCGAGGCTGCCCCTGTGCCCGCTTCCCAGCAGGCCAAGCCCTCCCCAAAGCAGCCCTGCCGAAGCGACGCACAGGGCTCTTTCCTCTCTGCCCCACGACCACCCCGAGGCCAGAGCAGAGGGTCCAGAGACAGGGCCAGGTTGGGATGCACAGCAAAGAGGAGGATGCTCACTGACTGACTTGTTCAAAAGCGAAAGGATGCTCCTGAGAACTCGGGCAGGATTCCGCAGTGAGCCTGCCTCAGAGCTGACAGTTCTCCTACTGTGCATTAAAGACAAACAAAACACGATTCCTCATGAAAGCTGCAGGCTGCAGAGAGGAGCCAAAAGGAGAGACAGGCTGATGGGAAACATGCTGACCTAGAAACCCGCCTGGGTGAGAGAATCTGGCAAAGTAGGACAAGCACCCTTGCAATCCGGGGCCTATCAGTGTCTCCCTCTGTCCGAGTTCCCCCAGACTCCTCACATGTGCGCTCCACCATGGCCTGGACTTTGGAAAATGATGCCGGTAAAACCCAAGCTCTGGAAGCCTACCAAGGACCACAGACTGGGCCTGTCCCGCTAAGACGGAGCAGCTCATCGCCACAGTGGCAAAGGGGATGACGGGTTTAGCCGTGAGAACTCAAGAACATCGTTGTCCACCCCAGGGAGGTGCTGGGCGAAGGAAACCACAGATCCCTAGAGTCTGGGCATGCTGGCTGCAGCTTGTCACTCACCCACTGACTCCTTCATTCAGTCAACAAACACCTGCCAAGCCCTGCCTGAGGAGGAGAGGGGTGGTGGGCACAGCCAGGTCGGGGGCCTGTGGCGGGGTGGTGGGCACAGCTGGGCCCAGGGCCCAGAGGTGAAGCACAGTTGTCTGGGATTTAGTGAGACAAAGGGAAATAGTTATAGGCAGTGACAACATAATGAACTCACTGCATTCAATTCTCTCCATATTTAAAAACATTCACTGGGCAGGCGTGTCTTCCTTTTGCCTCAGTCTGGTATGACTGGCACTGAGTTTACAAGATTTTGACACTTAATTTTTAAATTCTTCATCATGAAAGCACACACCCCATGGGATATTGTGTACCAGGAAAGGTCCTTTTTCCAGCTCAGTGGCGCCGTAGTGCCTGGAGTCAGACACTAACTAGCTGTGTGACCCTGGGCAAGTCACTTAACCGCTGCCTGCCTCAGTTTCTTCATCTGTAAAATGGGGAATAATAATAGCCTTTCCTTCTGAAATTGAGGATCGAATGAGATATTTGCAAGGTGCTTAAAACACTATATGAATGCTAGTTATTGTCATTATTTTTATTATCACTACTTTTCAAGTCTATCCTATAGCTCAAAGGTTTTCAACGGGTTTTAGATGAGGAGTCTCCCAGGCCAGTGAAACACATAAATTCTGAATGAAAAATAAGTTTCATTAGTAAAAATCACTTTCCCCATCTTTAGGTCTCCAGTCTTTGTATCGTCTTGCCCATGAGAAGTTTCTCCTTCATAGAAATGGTGAGGAGCTTTTTAAAAATCGGTCTTTCACTCTTCAGCAATGAAACACGTAAACACGGCACAAAACCCATTGCTCAAGGTGGAGAAACCAATTTGGTTTCATGTGGTCAAGGCTGGATGTTTGAATTAGCCAGTTTCTGCTGGCACAGCACCCACATTTGTGAGCAGTCTTTTCACAGAATGAGACCATGTCAAAAACAGTTTGTCCCATTAAGCCCACAAACCACCTCTCCAAAAACCCTGGAGCTAGGAAGCCAAAGGAGACTGGAGAGATGGACCATAGCTGGAGCAGTTATCAGTCATTCACCTCTTTGAGTGAATTAGTTAAGTCACAGGACCAGACTTATGATCTGGAAGGGGCCTTTTAAGTCATCAAGTCTGACCCCCTGATTTTACAGATGCTTAGAGAGGTGAAGCAACTTTGCCCAAGGACATAGTAGTAGCAGGATTTGAACCCAGATGTCATGACTCCAAATCTAGTCCAGTTTCCCATGGACCACAGTCTCCTTTGTGCCTTGGAAAAGAATGAGACCATGAGGTAAAGAGAGAGTTCTGATGATGATAATTTTAATAATCGCATTTCTAGAGCTCTTCATGGTTTGCAAAGCCCTTTACAAACATTATCTAATTTGATCCTCAAAGTAAGTGTAGGAGATAGGTGCTACTATGGTCCCCATTTCACAGATGAGGACACTGAAGCAGACGTGAGGTGATTTGCTCAGGGTCACAAGGTTAGTAAGTGTCTGAGGCCAGTGGCTGGATCTGAACCCGGGTCACCCTAACTTGGGGTTGAGTGCTCTGGCCAGCTGCCGAGATGATGAGGGTGACATTTCAGAGTTGGGAGGAATGCCGCCTACTTTAAGCCTTACTTATCCAGAAATCACCTGTCCAACATTGCCAACCAGTGGTTGCACATGGAGCCTCGACCTATGGGGTGAGGAGCAGGGGTGCGGTTTCTAATGGACCACTGGTACCCAGCTGAGGCAGGGCACCGTTACCACGGAGGACAGAGGCTGACACCCAAGATGAAGAGCTGGAGATGGTCTGAGAAAGCAAACTGCTAATGTAAGAGGTGAGGGGGCTGGCACTGCCCCCAATGCCCAAGGCAGGGGAAGGGAGAGCCTGGCCTTCCTGCCCTTGAACAGGCCCTGGGGAGCAGAGGGAAGAACCCTGGAGCTGGTATCAGAGGGCCTCACCCACGGTGCCTGTCGCTCCTAAGACCAGGGCTTCCTCTCTCTGCTCCTTGGTCTTCTCCTGGCAAAATAACCAACAACCTACAGGGTCCCTTCCAGCCCCGACTCCTGTCTCGGGTCCTCGGAGTGACCCTAGAAATCCATGCCCTCTGAGGCTGCTGCTGCCACCCAGACTCAGTCAACTGAAGGTTCAGGCTGGGGAGCACCGACCCCCCATGATTTCTAATTTTCCAAAGTCTTGTGGGAGAAGCAGGCTGTCTGAAACCACACGGCCCCATTCTCTCGTGCGCCGTGCTGACGGTCACCACAGATGCGTGTAAGGGGCACTTGGGGTCTTCTAAGGGGCTTTCTCGATCCCTTATTTGGCTTGGCCCTCACGATAACCCTGGGAGGGAGATTGGGCAAGACTGGTCCTGTCCATTTGACAGATCAAGAAATGGAGATTCGGAGATTTGAGAACCCTTCCCACATCCCCACAGCTGAATGGAAATGTTGGAGCCTGGTCTAGAACCTGGGTCTTCCTGACTCCCAGTTCAATGTTCCGATGAGAAGGCCAAAGGGGGATGACTCCAAAGGCCTGGGTTCCAGTCCTCTCTCTGCCCTTACTGGTGCTGTGACCTTGGGTAAGCCACGTCAACTCTGGCCTTCATTTCCCTCATCTACACAATGAGCAGGTTGAGCTGGATTACCAGCGATTCTGAAATATCTGAAGGACCATTAGGCAGAAAAGAAACGCCGTGGCTGGTGGTGTTCCAGAAGGCTGGTGCTGGACAGGTACGGGTGGGGCAGGATGGCACAGGGGAGACTGAACTCAAAGGGAGGGAACCCAGTTTCGAATCCCAGCTCTGCTAGTCACTTCCTCTGGGCTTTGGACAAGTGGGGAAAGGTGCAGAAAAGGCTCATACTCAAGGCCTCTGAGGCACCTCTGGTTTGTGCGTTTGCTTGAATAACCTTGCTGGGTGCCTCCGTTTCCCTCTCTGAATATTAGGGGCTTGCAACAGATTGTCTCTCAGGTCCCCCCCTGCTCTCCATGCAGCAGATGGATCTGCCCTTGGCCATCTCTGGGCCTCAGCCGACTTTCCCTCAGCTCTTTGGAGCTCTCAAAGGATCCCTGAATCTGGGCTTCAAACCCCAGCCTGGCCCCTGGTCAGAGGTGGGAGGGGGAGTTTTCCAGATTACTTTCCTGGGGTCTGGGGTTTTTGTTTTGTTTTGGTTTTTGTTTGTTCTCCCTATTTTTGCAAAGGATCTCAGTCCTGAAGGTGGCATTGCCTGAATCCCAAGTGAGAGCCTCAAATTTATCCCTGATTGGGGCCAGAGGTAGGATGAGGGAACCGCCCAGGGCAAGGAACAAACTGTGGCAGCTCGCCCTACTAGTGAGAATTGAAGATTTCTGGGAAGAAGAAACCAAAAGTTGAGCTGGCACTATCTACAGTCATATGAAAAAATGCTCTAAATCACCACTGATTAGAGAAATGCAAATCAAAACAACTCTGAGGTACCAACTCACACCTATCAGATTGGATAACATGACAAAACAGGAAAATGATAAATGTTGGAGAAGATGTGGGAAAATTGGAACACTAATACATTGTTGGTGGAGTTGTGAACTGATCTAACCATTCTGGAGAGCAATCTGAAATTATGCTCAAAGGGCTGTCAAACTCTGCATACCCTTTGACCCAGCGATACCACTTCTAGGTCTGTATCCCAAAGAGACAATACAAATGGGAAAGGGACCCACATGTACAAAAATACTTATAGCAGCTCTTTTCTGGTGGCAAAGAAATGAAAATTGAGATGATGCCCATCACTTGGGGAATGGCTGAACAAACTGTGGTACATGAATGTAATGGAATAACTATCGTGCTATATGAAACGTTGAGCAGTCAGAAAAACCTGGAAAGACTTGCATGGTCTGATGCTGAGTGAAGTGAGCAGAACCAGAAGAACATCATACACAGTAACAGCCACACTGT